TTCACGCATTACCTCTTCCCTGTTCACGCATTACATCTTCCTGTTCACGCATTACCTCTCCCCTGTTCACGCATTACCTCCTTCCTGTTCACGCATTACATCTTCCCTGTTCACGCATTACCTCTTCCCTGTTCACGCATTACATCTTCCTGTTCACGCATTACCTCTCCCCTGTTCACGCATTACCTCTTCCCTGTTCACGCATTACATCTTCCTGTTCACGCATTACCTCTTCCCTGTTCACGCATTACCTCTTCCCTGTTCACGCATTACATCTTCCTGTTCACGCATTACCTCTCCCCTGTTCACGCATTACCTCTTCCCTGTTCACGCATTACCTCTTCCTGTTCACTCATTACCTCTTCCCTGTTCACGCATTACATCTTCCTGTTCACGCATTACCTCCTTCCTGTTCACGCATTACCTCCTTCCTGTTCACGCATTACCTCTTCCTGTTCACTCATTACCTCTTCCCTGTTCACGCATTACCTCTTTCCTGTTCACGCATTACCTCTTCCCTGTTCACGCATTACCTCTCCCCTGTTCACGCATTACCTCCTTCCTGTTCACGCATTACCTCTTCCCTGTACACGCATTACCTCTTCCTGTTCACGCATTACCTCTTCCCTGTTCACGCATTACTTCCTTCCTGTTCACGCATTACCTCTTCCTGTTCACGCATTACCTCTTCCTGTTCACGCATTACATCTTCCTGTTCACGCATTACCTCTTCCCTGTTCACGCGCTACCTCTTCCCTGTTCACGCGTTACCTCTTCCCTGTTCACGCGCTACCTCTTCCCTGTTCACGCATTACCTCCTTCCTGTTCACGCATTACCTCCTTCCTGTTCACGCATTACCACTTCCTGTTCACGCATTACCTCTTTCCTGTTCACGCATTACCTCTTCCTGTTCACACATTACCTCTTCCCTGTTCACGCATTACCTCTTTTGGCTTGAACTAAATTCAGAGACATAATTCTGAAAAGCGATGTAATTGGGACGAGTTGAAAAAAATTTAAATATCATTACAAGTGAAAGTAGAAACAAGAAAAAGAGGCAAAATTCAAAGTAGTTTCCAAGTGTCCTCATCTGGTTGTGGGACACAATTCTAACCCCCCAAAGAGCTGCTCAGTCCTGTTATAATTTACACAAGTTTTTTAATGTTTTCTTTTTTAAAAATATATTTTTATTGATTTCAAAGAGAAAGGGAGAGAGAGAGGGAGATAGAAACATCAATGATGAGAGAGAACCCTGGATCGGCTGCCTCCTGCACGCCCCACACTGGGGATGGAGCCCACAACCTGGGCTTGTGCCCTGACCGGGAATCGAACCCTGACCTCCTGGTTCATAGGTTGATGCTCAATCACTGAGCCACGCCGGCCGGACACAATTTGCACAAATTCAACTTTCCCTCTCTTATGACATCTATATTTGTGCCTAAAAACTATGGGAATTTTTGTAAGAGAATGTTAACTCCCTAAAAGACAAAAATTTTAGTAAAATATAAAAGGAAACTCACGGGGCCGGTCCTGCCTGTGCACCGGACTGCCTCATATGGCCCATCCTACCTGTGCACCGGGCTGGCTCAGGGGCCTGTCCTGCCTGGCACCGGGCTGGCTCCCGTCATACCTGTGCACCAGGATGGCTCACGGGGCCCGTCCTGCCTGCACCCCGGGCTGCCTCACGTGGCCCGTCCTGCCTGAGCACCGGGCTGGCTCAGGGGCCCGTCCTACCTGAGCACCGGGCTGGCGTGAGGCAGGTGCCGTGTTGGGAGGACGCGGTTGCAGCGTCCATCGGAGGCTGTGGCATCTCCGCACGTTAGGAAGCGCGCCGCGTGCGCAAGGACGGGACTCCGATGTGACCGACACTCAGACTAGCTCCGCTGTGCATCACGGCGCGGAAGGCCGCCCTGACGTGTGCATGGAATTGTAAAGGAACGCACTGCCCTGGGAGCCGCAGGTGTCGGCACGTGTCCTTCTTACGGTCATGCTGGAAAGCCACCGAAGGGCCAGGGACCCAGCGGGCAGAATGCCGGGGCGCGGCCTGACCTGCTGAGCCGCGGGCCTGTGTCACGTGTGTGGCGGGCAGCAGAGCAGCCTGAGTCGTGGGGTCAGGAGCCGCTGGGGCGGGGCAGCACTGGGCTGGCTGTTGCCAGGCGCTGTGGGCCGTGGAGCGAGAAAGACGCACACGTCTCTGATCGCCATGGGACCCCTGCCCTCCCGGCGTGCTGGTGAGGATGCGAGAGACGGGGCCAGAGCTCCCAGCCTCATACCCAGTGAAGGGCCCCTGAACAGCATATGTGCCTTTAGAGCACACGTCCCAGCGGCGTTTACAAGGCCAGTGCGGGGCCTGCCCAGCTCTCCGAAGAGAGACATCCTGTTGCTTAGCTCCGTTTCGTATCGACTGCCTTCGGCACATCTGTTTCCGCAGTGACAGACATTGTGTGTAAAATAAAAGGGCCCTCGCTGGTGTGGCTCAGTGGATAGAGCAGTGATGGCGAACCTATGACACGCGTGTCAGAGGTGACACGCAAACTCATTTTTTTGGTTGATTTTTCTTTGTTAAATGGCATTTAAATATATAAAATAAATATCAAAAATATAAATCTTTGTTTTACTATGATTGCAAATATCAAAAAATTTCTATGTGTGACACGGCACCAGAGTTAAGTTAGGGTTTTTCAAAATGCTGACATGCCGAGCTCAAAAGGTTTGCCATCACTGGAATAGAGCGTCGACCTGTGGACCGAAGGGCCCCGGGTTCGATTCCGGTCAAGGGCATGTACCTCGGTTGCAGGCTCCTCCCCAGCCCAGGCCCTGGTCGGGACACATGCAGGAGGCGACCAATCAATGTGTTTCTCTCACATCGATGTTTCTCTCTGTCTCTCCCTCTCTCTTCCACTCTCTCTAAAATCAATGGGAAAATATCCTCGGGTGAGGATTAAAAATAAGTAAATACAATAAAATAAAATGAACCACACGTGGTCCCTGGAGCAGGCCGCCTGCTTCCTCCTCGGGGGCCCACGTACCTTGCAGCCTTCACACGCGTGAACCCCGTAATGGTAGCCCGAGGCTTTGTCCCCACAGATTCTGCATTCGATGTTGAGTGCTGTGCTGGAGGCCTCCTCGGCGCTGCCGGGGACCACAGGGTAAGACACCGACGAGGGGCTCGAAGCCGGGGAAAGCGTGTCTGCGGGCAGACAGGAGACACGGGTGAATTTTCACAGCATCCCCCCCCACCCGTCTGTCTCCATCAACTTCATGAGCGTCTGATGTCACAGGGGAGGGGCTGAGTGAGGAGTGTCAGCTGTGGGCGGGGCTCCCGGCCTGAGGCGCCCCTGTGCTGGGCTGTCCCACCCCGTCCTGTGCCCGTACGGCTGCTATGCACTGGCATCGCCCACAGGCCCGCCGAGCTGCCCGCGTTCTGGACCCACAGACCTGGCCATCTCGCCGGTCCCTCCACCCACCGGCTTCCCGAGCCCCCCGCCCCTGACGCATCTTACAGAACCGTTACTCCAGTGGTTCCCAAACTTATTTGGCCTACCGCCCCCTTTCCAGAAAAAATATTACTCAGCGCCCCCTGGAAATTAAATTTTTTAAAATTTTAATAGCAATTAAACAGAAAGATATATGTATTAATGTTTCTACCTTTTTCGTAAAATATAGTAAAGAAAGGTGTAAATTAGAAACATTGAAGTTTGAAATTATGAAACTATTTATTGAACTCAGAATAGAAAGGTAATACAAAAAAAGTTAAAACAAATGCACCTGTGGCCATCACCGCCCCCCCCATCACTGCAGCGCCCACCAGGGGGCGGTAGCGCCCACTTTGGGAATCACTGCGTTACTCTGTCTGCTTCCTCCCAGCTCTTCTGCATTAACTCGGCAAACTGCACCAGGACGAAGCATAAAAATCCACGTGGGCAATGCCAAAAGCATAACCCGTGAAAGAAAAAACAAGTTGGACTCTCTCTTTTTTTAAAATATATTTTTATTGATTTCAGAGAGGAAGGGAGAGCGAGCGAGAGAGAAACGTCAATGATGAGAAAGAATCATGGACCGGCTGCCTCCTGCACGGCCCCTGCTGTGGATGGAGCCTGCAATCTGGGCCTGTGCCCTGACCGGGAATCGAACCATGATTCCTGGTTCTCAGGTCGGTGCTCAACCCCTGAGCCGACAAGGCTAAGCTGCACGCTCCTAAAATTAAAACGTCTGCTCTGCAGAACACACCGTTAGGAAAATGAAAGACAAGTCACGGAGCAGGAGAAAACATCTGCAAAACACACGTCTGATAAAAGGTTGGTGACTCAAGTTTGCAAAGAGACTTAAATGTCACAATAATAAAACTACCCAACTGAAAAACGGCCACGCTCTGAACGGACGCCCACTGGAGAAGGCGTACCGGCTGCAGGGAGCGTATGAAACGACGCGATGCGCCGTCGCCGGTCGCTGGGAAACAGAATGCACACGACAGTGAGATGTCACTACACACCTATCAGGATGGCCAACTCCAAACCCTGCCACCACCATGTGCAGGCGCGGGGCGGGGTGGGGAGCCCCACGCGCGGCCACTGCGAGGACAGGTCGCAGAATCCCATGCGCGAGAGGAATTACGTTCCCAGATTCACCCGAGCCACCTGACAACAGACGTCCGCGCAGAAACCGAGCTCGAGTGCTCGAGGATGGCCGAGTCAGGAGCCCAGTGCCCTCGGCAGGCAAGTGGAGGGAGAGGGAGCCGACCTGCGCGCTCAGCTTGATGAAGAACAGTTGTAAGAAACTATCGCTAACATCATACCTAGTGGCAAGAGACGGAATGAATGGATGCTTTCCCTCTAAGATCGGGAACAAGGCGGGGATGTTTCAAGTCCATCCAACGTTGTACTGGAGGTTCTAACCCGTGTAATAAGACAAGAAAAATAAATAAAGGCGTCCAGCTGGAAAAGGAAGAAGGAAAATGGTCTTTATGTGCAGATGACACAATTATCTGTGTAGAAAACCCCAAAGAATGCATATAAAACCACTAGAACGGATTAATCCGTTTAACAAGAGCGTGGGATATAAGATCAATGGCAAATCAACTGTATCTTTATCAACAGCAACAAATGATCAGAAATTGAAATTTGAAAAGTATTTACAACTGCATCAAAAAAATATGAGGCGCCTAGCCATACATCTGACAAGAAATGCGAAAGCCCCGACACGAGAAACTACTAAACATTGCCGAGGACAGTTAAAGACCTAAAGTGGAGAAATCAAGTCTTGGCTCAGAAGACCCAGCATTCTTAAGGTGTCCATCCTCCTCCCCGCAGCGATCGACGGGTTCAACGCAACCCCAATCAAAGCCTCCGCAGGCTGCTTCGGGATAAACGGACACGCTGATTCTAGAGTGAATATGGGAATGGAAAGGGCCCAGGATCCTCAAACGCCTTCAGGAAAGAAGAACCAAGCTGGAGGGCTTCTGCTCCCCGACCTCGGGAACCTGTGGTATTGGTGTCAAATGAGACACACGCATCCATGGAATGGAACAGAGGGTCCAGAAATAGACCCCACACCTATGGGCGGCCGATGATGGACAAAGGTGCAAAGGTCACTGAGGGGAGGCACTGGAACAATGAGATGCAAGAGAAAGGAGAGGGAAGAGCGTAGATCAGATATAAGAACGAGGTCCGTGAGTCTCACACGCCAGCGCAACCCTAAAAATGCAGACTTCCGGGCACGACTGGGGGTCAGGCACGGGCTCCTTGGGGCTGACCCAGAGCAGGTCCGTGAGGAACACAGCTCCGGTCGGTGGGCTCGGTCCCATCCAGGGCGTCAGGCTCCTGGAAAGACCCCGATAGACAAGCCCAGACTCGGAGGGAAAAGGTCTAAATCCCGCACCTAAGGAAAGTACTCAGACCCCGAATGTGCCTGCAGCAGCCACAGCAGGAAGACAGCTCGGCCTAAACACAGCTGAGCTCTGAACAGAAGCTTCACCAAAGGAGATGCAAGGCAGGTGCGTGAATGAGAAGGTGCTCCCCCGACCCCCGCTCCCGTTCCTGTTCCTGGCTGTCCCACCCGCGCCCACTGCCCCACAGACCCTCCTGCCGCTCCTGTCAGCAGCGTCTGCCCCCAGCGAGGTGTGGGGGGGGGGGGGAAGTTCAGAGCACGCACTCCCCACTGCTGTCTACTCGCAGGTTTTACCCGAGAGCAGCGCTTCCCGCCGTGTAAGGTCACGAAACCACCTTCCAAGAGCGGGAATGAGCGAGAAGAGAAGACTCCAGGCCAAGAACTCAGCAGAGAGGAGCCGGGGAGGGAAAGGGCCGGAGACCGTCCCCAGACGTGGCCACGGAGACCCTTCTCGCGACTCCCCCAGGCCCCGTGTCCCCCACTCAGGCGGGAACCGCACCCAGACCCGTTCCCAGCCACAGCTGCCGCTCCTCGCTGCTCCGAGTCCATCTGCTCCAGTCCCCACCCAAGACCACTTCCTCAAGGAGCCCCGTGCCCAGCCCAGCCCCGACGGGGCCCCTTCAAACCAGCAGCTGCTCACAGCACGTGCGGGCCGGCCTACGGAACGAGGCATTTCCCCAGGTCCCTGCCCGCAAACACGCAGGCCACCGGACAGACCCCAAGTTCTATTTCTATTGTGGTTGTTAGTCCTCAGCCAAGGAGGGAGGGCATTTTTTCCACTGGTTTTTAGAAAGAGTGGAAGGGAGGGGCAGGGCAGGGGGACGGAGAGAGAGAGAGAGAGAGAGAGAGAGAGAGAGAAATCGATCCATGTGACAAAGACACATTGATTGATTGCCTCCCACACACGCCCAGACCAGGGATGGGGATCAAATGTGCAACCCAGGCATGTGCCCTTGACCAGGACTGAACCCCCGACTCCTCAGCCCACTGGGCACACTCTAACCACTGAGTCATGCTGGCCGGGGGGCGGGGGGGGGGCCTTGTCGTTCTTAACGCAGGAAGCGGGAGCTGGCTCATGTACACGTCCAGGTTTAAAAAGGAGCAGCCCAGCAGGCGTGGCTCAGTGTCGACCTAGGAACCGGGAGGTCACAGTTCGATTCCCGGTCAGGGCATGTGCCCGGGTTGTGGGCTCGATCCCCAGTGGGGGGCGTGCAGGAGGCAGCCGATCCATGATTCTCTCTCATCATTAATGTTTCTCTCTCTCTCCCTCTCCCTTCCTCTCTGAAATCAATAAAAAAATATATATATTTTTAAAAGGAGCCATTTTTATCACACCAGGGGTGTCTGTTTTCAGGGAATACAGGAGGGGCAAAAGCAGGGCTACAGCCGCCGCATGAAAGATGTCACTGTCGCGGCAGGAGATGCGACACCCCCCCCCGCCCCCGCCCCATAAAGGCACCTTTTCTCGGGGGAGAAACAGGCGCTCCCGGAGCCGCACACTCACCCGTGATGACGGAGCCCTCGGACCCGGGGCCGCTGCCTAAGTACTGGTAGTCGGTGAAGCTGAAGCTTCCGGAGCTGTCCTCCCCGAGGGACTGGGACATGTCCTGGATGCTGCCCATTTCCTGCAGGAACTCTTCCGAGAGCGGGCTCTCCAGGTCGTCGGCCTCGAGGGGGAAGAGGGAGCAGATCGGGCTCTCGGTGTCCACCATCCTGCCCTGCGCCGCCGGCCGCCCGGCCCGGGCCGACCCGCTGCGAGGAGCTGGAGGAGAGAGAAGCGGCCGGTGAGACTGACCGGAGGGACGCGGCCTCCACTCACGGAAACATCACTTGCCAAGGAAGGCACCCTGGACGCAGCTCCACACACTGACGGGCGGACCACCTTGCCTCTGCTCCAGCCTTTTTTTTTATGTTTTTATTGATTTTTTTAGAGAGAGAGGGAGAGGGAGAGAGAGATAGAAACATCAATGATGAGAGAGACTCATTGATCAGCTGCCTCCTGCACGCCCCACACTGGGGACCGAGCCCGCAACCCGGGCCTGTGCCCCGACCGGGAATCGAATCATAACCTCCTGGTTCACAGGTCGACGCTCCACCATGAGCCGCGCTGGCCGGCGGAACTGGACTTTCTGGCACTGTTTCTAGAAAAGCTCTCCCAGCTTTGTAAAGGGCTATGGGGAGGGGGCGGCGGGGGGAGCTAGGCTGTGTCTCACTTGGGTCCCGGCTTGAGTCTGGACAAGCTAAGAAAATGAAAATCTTTAAACACAAAATGTTTAAGGCACCTTTGCCAACCGGCCGGGAATCAGTCATTCATCACTAGTCACACCGCATGCTGAGCTCAAGCCGCGGATCTGAGGCGGCCGAGGAGGCGGCGGCGGACACAAAGTCCCTGCTCTCCCGGAACACAGACGGCGAGCAAATAAACACATACATGGACGGCAGGTCGGAGGGACACGGTGACGCAGGAGGGCGGACGGGAAACGGACTCTGGTCCACGTGGGCACCCAGGGGCGGCCGCCGAGGGCACAGTGAGAGCTGGAGGAAGGCGGGGTGAGCTGTGGAGGGGTCGGGGGACAGTGTCCCAGCAAATCGACAGCCAGTGCCAAGGCCCAGGGGGGAAGCCGCGGGTCGGAGCCTGCTGGACACAGGCAGGCCAGTGGGCTGAGGCTGGGGCCCGGGGACAGCGGGAGGGACAGGCAGGCGGTCGGCACAGCATGACAGGCCCTCCGGCACCCTCGGTCAGCCACGTGGGCACGCCCAAGAAATGCTTGTGCAGCCACAGACACGTCAGAGTTTGAAAAAATCTAAGTAGGCGAGTCCCCGACAAAGCCAGACAGGTTCAACTCACAAGCAAAGGGGCGTTCTCCCGTGGGCACTGCAGGGGCTGGGCAGTGTCCCCCGATCCGTGCGCTGGGGTCCAGCCCGGCCCCAGACCGTGGCCGGACTTGGAGACGAGGAGGCGGCGGCGAGACTGAAGGTCTTCCGCGTGGACCCCGACTAATCTGACCGGTGTGCTCAGGAGGAGAGGGGATCGGACTCAGAGACCCCGGGGATGTGGGCGGGCAGCGAGGTCGCCGCCTGCAAGCCACGGAGAGGCCTCTGGAGACACCAGACCGCTGACTCTCGGGTCTCGGACTCCGGGCCTCCGGCCGGGAAGAAGGAGCTGCCTGCTGTCCGAGCCGCCGGCCCCGTGGTCCTCTGTTATGGTGCCGAGCAGAGGAACACGGGTACAAAGTCGAACAGCGTGTCTCCCGGGCCGGCCGGCCAGCCCGCTGCTTAAACACTGAAGCCACGCCCTGTGCCCTCCAGACCGACGGCCCATCACCTCGGCACCTCTGGCCTGCGCACCTGTCTCCGGCCGGACCTCGCCAGCGCCCCCGCCCCCTGTGCCCACGACGACAGCGGCCCTGGCCGGGGACGCCCAGACCTCGCCGGCTCCACCCACCTCTGCGCCCTGGCAGCGTCCAGTGCGGACACTTGTCCAGCCGGGAGCGTCAGAGCACCAGGGGCTGGTCTTTGACTAACGGGACAAGGTGAGGCTCCCGGCCACTGGATCTCGGGAGTTTGGATGCTTTGAGTTCTCATCATTTCATTTTCAATTGTGTTTTTTTTAAAAATACTTTTTATTGATTTTTTTTTTACAGAGAGGAAGGGAGAGGGATAGAGAGTTAGAAACATTGATGAGAGAGAAACATTGATCAGCTGCCTCCTGCACACCCCCCACTGGGGATGTGCCTGCAACCAAGGTACATGCCCTTGATCAGAATCAAACCTGGGACCCTTCAGTCCACAGGCCGAAGCTCTATCCAGTGAGCCAAACTGGTTAGGGCTCAATTGCTTTTTAAAAAATACATATTTTTTATTGATTTCAGAGAGGAAGTGAGAGGGAGAGAGAGAAACAAACGTCACTGATGAGAGAGAATCATTGATCGGCTGCCTCCTGCACATCCCCAACTGGGGACCGAGCCCACAACCTGGACATGTGGCCTTGACCGGAATCAAACCTGGGACCCTTCTGTCTGCAGGCTGACGCTCTGTCCACTGAGCCACACCAGCTAGGGCTCCGTGGCTTTGAAAGCCCACCCGAGGTTCAGCTAGAGACGCGTGGGCCTCACTGCGGAAGAAGCGCCAGACGGAGAAACCCCGGGCAGAGCGGCCACGCCGTCCCGGCCGGCTTTCCACACGTCCCTGAGCCTCTGCTCCGGCCCCGGGGCTTCCAGCGGGAGCGGGTAGGGCCCAGGTGAGAGCAGAGCATGGCTCACAGCCACCGCCTCCCCGCGCTCCGGCCTGTCCTGGGCCCCGGCTCCCGACGGCTCTCGCCTCCCCTCGGGGCGCAGAAACATCCCAGGGCCGCCCGCTCTGCGTCTACCATCCGGAGCGCGCCCCTGCCTGTGCTCGGGGCACACCGGCCCGGCCCTGGGTCCCGGCGCGACACAGGACGGCTTTCTCAGCGGCGAGACACAGGACGGCTTTCTCAGCGGCACCGGGTGGCCCAGGATCGAGCCCAGTGGCTGGAGAAGAATCCTGAATGCAAATGGGGCTGAACCGGGCCACGGCCCAGCACGGAGCTCTCCCAGCCCAGGGCCGAGAAGGGGGCGCCGGGAGAGCTGGCCGCGGCCCGGTCCCGGCAGAGGTGGGCGTTCTGCCCCGGCACTCCTGCCGTGACCGAGGCCCAGGGCTCCCCGCCTGTTTCCTGAGCCGCCACGGCCACGTCAGGGCTGCCTCCTCGCCTCCGGAACGCAGTGTGGACCTCAGAAATGCTGCCGTGGGTCTTAGTGACCGAACACTGACCCACCAAAGAGCTCCTCTGAGAACCACCAAGCAGGGCATGCAGAACTACAGAGCATCAAACAAAGGAAACAGCCCAGGCCTGGCCGGTGTGGCTCAGTGGGCAGAGCGTCGGCCTGCAGACCCAAGGGTCCCGGGTTCGATCCCGGTCAAGGGCACATACCTCAGTTGCAGGCTCCTCCCTGGCCCAGGCCCTGGTCGGGGCTTGTGCAGGAGGCAACCAATCGACGTGTCTCCCTCACATCGATGTTTCTCTCTGTCTTTCCCTCTCTCTTCCACTCTCCCTAAAAATCAATGGGAAAATGTCCTCGGGTGAGGATTAACAAAACAAAGCAAAAAAGGGAAAAGGAAAGAAAGGGAGAGAGAGAGAGAGAGAGAGAGAGAGAGAGAGACTGATTCCCGCTCTCTGTCCCCTAAGCACAGGGAAGGTGAACACAGGGGACGTACTTAACATCGAGGGGTCACCTTTCACACGGAGGCATCTGCTGTTGGGAAGACCAGGCCCATGGGCTGCAGCCAAGGAGGCCGGGCAGCCTCCGCTGGTTCCCACGCAGCTCCAGGCTGGGAGCGCCCCGATTGGCCGGGGTCCACGTCCGTCTCCACTGGGCCGTGCGCTGCGTTCCCGGGGGCGGGAATGTTTTGTGAATTGTGTCAGCTCACGTCCAGGACAATCCCCGCGAGGCAGCGGGCGTTGGGCTCCTGGCGCTGCGCCGCGCCTGGCACAGAGGCGCCCAGCAGTGCCTGCGCCACCAGAACCAGGCGAAGGTCTGCCTGCGACTCACCCAGACGCGCCCTGGCTCGCCTTCCAAAGACAACAGAGCGAGAGGGCGCCCGGAGCAGAAGTCAGCGTCCACCTCGGGAAGGCGGTCAGACACCGGCAGGGTGACCCTCACGTGGCGGGGATTGAAAAACAAAGCATTCGAGGGGGGCAGAGGGCGGGGATCCAAGCCTAACAGCGAGGCAGGTCCCGCCTCGGCAGGGATGGGGCAGAGGTGACGCCGATTAACACCGACTAACACCTCTATCCGCGGGGAGAGGCCTGTTCCACGGCCCGGGCTCGGGACGGCACACACAGGCGTCACCACAGGCCCTGCGCAGAGGCGGGCACGGTTCTCAGGCAGGCAGCGCAGAGAGAGAAGCTGGGCAGGCTCGGCGGTAAAGGAAGTGAGGAGCTTTGAAGAAAGGAAGGCAGTTTCATCCTCTGGTTGGAAGAGACCAGGGGTGGGGAGCGTCCGGCCGGCGGGCCTCATTCGGTCTGGCCCCGCCACGGCATCGGGGGTGAGTGAATGAGATGTTTGACCACATAGAGCAGGCGAATGAGTAAGGTGGTACCTGGGTATGGCCGGGATGATGTTATAAATACCCACATGGCCCCGGGCGGAAAAGGCTCCCCACCCCTAGACCAGAAGACGGAGAGAGCCCCCAGGGCCGGCTCCGTGGGCAGCGCCGCCTCTGCCCGCTCTGTCTCCCCACGGGAGCTTCCTGGGACCCCAAAGGCTTTTCTGAAATCAAATGTTAAGCCCTGACCGGTGTGGCTCAGTGGATAGAGCGTCGGCCTGCGGACTGAAGGGTCCCATCGATTCTGGTCAAGGGCATGTACCTGGGTTGTGGACACCTAGTAGAGGGTGTGCAGGAGGCAGCTGATCAATGTTTCTCTCTCATCGATGTTTCTAACTCTCTATCCCTCTCCCTTCCTCTCTGTAAAAAATCAATAAAATATATTTTTTTAAATGTTCAATAACCGCTCGGCACTGTCCCAGCTGTGGAGCACTGCTCTGCGCCTGCGACCCGACACCCGGGAGAAGGACAGAGGCCACGGGACGTGGACGGACGTTCACACTCAGATCCTGCATTTCGCTCACAGGTCAGTAAAGGTCAGTCGTTAGCGCTCGCTCTGCTCCTGTGGCTCTGTCGCCCGCCCTAGTTTCCTGTCCTGTAAACCCTGTGGGATTGTCACCTCGGGGCTCGG